CTCTGCCAACACGGGAGGCCAGTCCGACACTTTCTAATGAATGAGTCGCAGCCCTCGCCGTCGCATTGATACTAACTTTCGTCTGTAAAAAGCCTTATGCTAGACGTTATTGTATCATGGGAGGTTAGGTGCCCCACATTATACACATAGTGACCACCAAGCTTATTGTGTATGAAGTAAAAGAGCAGTGCATTTTGAAGCTCCACCAAGGGGCTAGAAGGAGCTGTTTGGAACCACAGGACCGTTCTATCGTGATTCCTTCATTGCCATGGATGCGAGGGCACCCTGAACGATATTGTTGGCCCGTGACTCTGAAATAATTGTAAGAAACCGTAATGCAGCCCGCGGTATTTGACGCCTTTGTGATGCCGTCTAATGACAAAAGGTCCAAGGACGGAGAACGCCGTCCTCCAGTGTACTGGTGGACTGACGAGATCGCGCGAACTTCGCAGGGGGAATGCCACCGAAACACCGTAGATTGCGCACAGCGCGCCCAGGAGCCGCCCAAAAACTATGAATTTCTCAAGAAGCAACATCTGGGACGCCAGAAGAGCTTTCACAAAAGCCATTAAGATTAGTAAGTGTCGTTGCTGGAGAGAAGCTAGGGGAGGAGGTGGATGCTGACCCTGGGGACGCCCCGTATAAGCTGCGTAACGGCCAGGACTCAGGGGTATGCTTAGGCGACCACCCACTTGCCCGCGTTTTCCATGAAAAAGTGTAGCTACCTTGTTTCCTCGCCAGGTAGATACGTTTACAACCGAAGGATCGTCTGGAAGATCTAAGCGAGGTTCCGGCAGTTCACGTTGCGGATGAACTTCCAGAGCTTGCGGCAAGGTCCAGATTGCCAAAGCCCCGATTAGATTGGGGGTCCCAAAGTAGCAATTAAGACGCTATTAACAGCTCGCCCGATCTATTCTTGCAGGCATATTAATGCATGCATTACGCAGAGGGGAATGTCCCCCGCTCGATGGAAGCAGCAACAAGTTAGTCCTTCTTCCGAAGGCGATAAGGCACCCCTACTGATCCGGCAGCCTATCGGCCAATATGCTTACTGGACACAGCAGGCAAAGTGTTTGCGAGCGGATTATCTTGCAATCGATTGAGCCATTTACAGAGGGCCTCAAGGATTGTCTGAGAATCAGTTACGGCTTTAGAAAAGCGGAGATCCACTGCGCTTAGATTGCTATTAAGGTAGTCATCGACATCGCACGCAAGGCCATTGAGGCAAACGAAGGAAAGGCACGTTCCTATGAAGTAGTTGCTATAATGACCTAGGACTTGAAAAACGCCTTTAACACTGCCAAGTGGACTCCATTCTTTCTGCGCTAAAACTCTCGGAGTTCCAAGGTACATCTCGAACTTGGGAAAAAAGTTACTTAAGGAGAGAGTCCTCCTATATGAAACTGCGGCTGTCGAGTACAATCTTTATACGCGTCACAGGCGGCGTTCCTCCCACAGAGGCTCGGGTACTTGCGTTCCGATGTTGTGCGAAACACTTATGTATGACGCCGTGTTGAAGCTCGAGTTGCCGGAAGGCCGCAAAGAACGATTTGGATTCGCTATGAACGATGTTGCAATTGTTCTGTTTCGGCAAATACACATCGGAACAAGTTCCACGCAGGTTGCAACGAGGCTGCTGGCGGAGATACCGGCGGTGCGCTTACGTCAAGTAGGGCTACAGATGGCCGCCCAAAACAGAGGCTGTGGCTGGTGACGGCAGAAAAAAAAATAACACAAGTGAGAGAGAGTATTACTTCCTAAAAATGTACGAGGCTGCAAAATAGCCTCCGCAGCTGTTCACTTGAGGTATTTTGGGAGTCATTATTGACGCGAGACTGCGCTTTGACGAGCACCTGCGCCAATGTTCTCCGAGGAAAGCCGTCTCGTATTGCGCATCCGCATTGCACGCATTATCCTAATGTAGGGGGACCTGCGCAAAGAAGCCGAAGACTGGCTGACTAGCCTAGTAAATTCCATTCTTCTCTACGCAGCCCCCTATTTGGCTGATGCCATGGCATTCAGTCATACGCCCGTCGCGGCTAAGTCAGGTGCATAGAAGCGTCGCCTTGCGTTGCTCCTAGCGTTTCGCACACGTTATGCTTATGAGCTGCTGTGCGTTGTTAGCAGATATGCCTCCGAATCGACCTCATTGCGCAGGAGAGCAGCTAGACTCTATTTGCCCCAAGTCGGGGAGGGGGTCTCAAATGGAATACCATTACGCAAAAGAAGAGAGGGGGGTGACCAATGGACCAATGGCAACGACTGATGGAGCAATCATCAACTGGGCGCATTGCGACATTTCGGCGTCATTCCCGATCATCATGACGTGTCCAAAGGGAACATGGAGAATTAGATTTTATCTAACTCAGATGCTGACAGGGCAGGATGGTTATCGAGAGTATCAGTCAGATTCCGTGTTGGACGATAGCTCATCTGCCCAAGTGTTTCCCGGTTGATTGAAAGAGGGTAGAACCACGTGTTTCTTTCATTGTCCCGCTTCACAGTGGAAGGGAAGGGAACTTCACAGACTCCTCCAAGAGGAAGTTGACCCCTTGAGACCATTCGTCACTAGGATGCTGCTGACACAAGCAGCTATTGGAGGTGCGGTAGCCACCTATGCCGCAAAGGTCCTGAAACGCTCCGCCTCTGAGAGCAGTTACGAAGAAGGACTCCCGTAATATTTCGTGTGACGTGCGAAAAGCCCATCCCTTCCTTCCTCCCCGGCGATTGCAAGCCTGACGGCCCCCGGGTCCGCCGGGAAGGAATAGGAGGAAAGGGAGGTTTTAGTGGGTAGGCAATGGCTAGCCTATGAATCCCACCACGCCTGCGGGTTGCGGCCCCCTGCTTGTCTTTAGAAGATTTACCCTGCCCCACGCTAAAAAAAAAAAAAAAAAAAAAAAAAAAAAAAAAAAAAAAAAAACACTTCCCCCTCCCCCCCCCATTACACTTCCCCCTACACTCCCCCCTTACACTCCCCCTAACACTCCCCCTTACACTCCCCCTTACACTCCCCTTACACTCCCCTTACAACTCCCCCTTACCTAACCCCCTTACCACTCCCCCTGTACACTCCCCCTTACACTCCCCTTACACTCCCCCTTAACACCCCCCTTACACTCCCCCCTTACACTCCCCCTTACCACTCCCCCTTACACTCTCCCTTACACTCTACCCTTTACACTCTCCCTTACACTCTCCTTACACTCTCCCTTACAGTTCTCCCTTACACTCTCCTTACACTCTCCCTACACTCTCCCTTACACTTCTCCCTTACACTCTCCCTTTACACTCTCCCTTACACTCTCCCTTTACACTCTCCCTAATACCTACATACACCTTACACTCTCCCTTACACTACTCCCTTACACTCTCCCCTACACTCTCCCTTACACTCTCCCTTACACTCTCCCTTACACTCTCCCTTACACTCTCCCTTACACTCTCCCTTACCACTCTCCCTTAACACTCTCCCTTACACTCTCCCTTACACTCCCCCTTACACTCCCCCTTACACTCCCCCTTAACACTCTCCCTACACTCTCCCTTTTACACTCTCCCTACCACTCTCCCTTACACTCTCCCTTACACTCTCCCTTTACACTCTACCCTTACACTCTCCCTTACACTCCCCTACACGCCCCCTTACACTCCCCTTACACTCCCCCTTACCACTCCCCCCTTAACTCCCCTTACACTCCCCCTTACACTCCCCCTTTCACTCCTCCTCAATCCACCACCCGTTGCCCCCCACTCTTCGACCCACGACCCCCTGCCTCCGCCCACCTATTCCTTGACCGCACTCACCGTTCCGTATCGCAGTCGTCCTGACTGACGGTTGTCACCGTTATCACTGTCCTTCCTCTATTTGTTCTAGTTCGCAATTCTGTTCGGCTACAGTGAGAGTACAAGGAGTACCAGAATGAAGGTTTGTTCTCACTGTGCTGGAACTTAAATCCCTGCAGGATTAAAATACACTTTAATTTCGCCAGCAATAAAGATTTAGCGCAGTGGAGCTTGTTATAAATGGTGTGGACTTATAGAAAATAAACATAATAGTTATACGTATGATATGATCATTATGTTCGCATATGAATAATTTTCATTTTTTATAATAACTTAATTTTGTTTGAGTTTTAAAATATTTTAGAGTTTGAGTTTTAGAATACATTAGCTAATCCCTCATTATGCATGCTTTTATGCTTATCAAAAACCTGCTACAATGTTAGTTTCGAAATACACGAGGTAATTTCCGATATTTCGTGTTGGAAAATAATGGTTTCTTTGATAGCTTAATGTGTTGAAAATCTCTGGGGTCAGTCTGTCCGTAGCGACTTTTGTCGTAGCACGAACCCGAAAGCGCCCGCAGCAGACTCGCGATCTGTTACTCACATTCATGTTAGACGAAAATAAATGTTCCTCTGGAAGACATCCGAGAAGAGGAAACGGATGAAATAAGGGACGAAAAAGTGATGTAAGTGCTGCAAATATAAAAGTGTGTTTTTTTATTCAGAAATTCACCGACAGCTGATCAAAGTGCTCGAAAACTCGTCGGGAAGAGATTCAAACCTTCCAAAATCTAGATGAGTCAGTGTACGTGAAAGGGCCGTGTACGGTTACTTCATGTTTGAAAGAAGAAAAAAGATATCGTTATTAACAAAATTACTCAAAAAAAGAATATCAATATTATACAATAAGGTATAAACAGACGGACAGACTTAAAACACTTCAAACCAACAAATTTTGAACTTATAAAAAATAAGTTTATTATTTAGAATATGAAGATATTAAAATTATGAAAACGTTCTTAAAGATTTGTCAAGAAATGAGCTGGAGTGTGAAAGTTTATAGTTGGAATTAAAAAACTCTCTACAAGTAAATGTTACTTACATTAGAGAATAGTATAACATCCAAGAAACTTTTCAAAGTGGTTTGAGTAACAGTTGAGTGTAGATATTAAAGACTTAAAGATAAATATTATCTATGGTTTGGGATTTTTTTATATTATAAATAAAACTGTTAGAAACAAGGTTTCGAAATTTACAACTGCCCACTGGTCATTGTACCTGAAACCTTATACTTGTACAATTATCTTATTGTCGTGTAAACTATTCAACTGTAACTGTCATATAATTACCTTTTAAATGGAAAAATATGTTATGTCATGAATTTCTCGTTAGTAACATGCAATGTAGGCAATTGATTCTCGTTAGTAAATTCAAGGAATCAATTTATTGTTGGCCGTGAATTGAATAGGGTGAAACCTTACACTTGATGTGGGGTCGATTTAAGTGAAAGTGTGGTGTAATGTACAAAACAGGAACTAATTTAAAATTAGACGCAGAATAGAAAAGCTAGAATTTGTAAAATTAGTTTTTGTGAAATTAATATTTAATATTGAATAAATGGAATACCATCAAAAATGTACAAAAATTAAAAAATGGCACTGTGCGATTAGTGTTAAAAGATAAAGAAACAGTTTTGGGAGCTCAATGGCACAACGATACTCTTATCGAAGCGGTAATTACTGAAGGAATTCTCTTCTACGGAAAAGTCGTCTGCCTGCTTCAGACACGGAAGGACCTAACATCTTACCGAAACATGCTGATTGTAAGTACTTTTGCTTGGGCATCCATATTGCGTAGCATTATGTTAGTACTATATATATTATATTATATATATATATATATATATATATATATATATATAATATATATATATATATATATATATATATATATTCGTGGTTCCAATTCATGTTTTTCATGTCTGATTGAAACTATATCCCTATTTCGCGTTTCAGACTGAGATGTCTATTTGTTAGAAAATAATGCGCCCTAAACTGAAGTGAGACCTGCGCTATTCTTATAAGAATCCCTTAATTTATCGGCGGAAAAAAATAAAGAAAAAAAGTGGAGCGTTTTTGGAAAAAATGTGTTTTTTATTAGAAATAAATCTTAAACACGTATAGCGTAAAAAATATTAAAATAAAGCACGAAAGTATATGCTGCTGTAGCACTATTAATTCATTAACAGGGCCTGGCAATAAGAGACTTTCTGCCGAATATTTGCCGTATCTCGGCGCACGATTACAAATACCATCTCTTCTTGGGGAGGGCGAGAAAAGAAAAGTTTCATAATACGCCAAAGTTAATGATAATGTGTTCACGCTCCAATTACAGACGGAAGCACTTCGTGTGATTGATATATCTCACCTCGTGATTGGCCAATAGCAAAGAGGTGATAAGAAAATATATTTTATGTATACATCGTCTCGATTGGTGCTTTTCGAATGTAGAGATCAATGCTGTTGGTGTTAGTATCACAAGTGGAATAGTCTTCTAAATTGCACATCATACAAAATGACGGACAGGCATGACTTATTTAAAAAAATCAATAACTTGAACACTCTACTAACAGTGTGACTCACTGACTATTCTCCCATTAAATTTCACAATACAGCATCGCCATTAGAGAGACAAAAACTACGTCAGGGAACAAACAACAGTCAGTGCGTCACACCGTCAGCCGATATGATAATTCATTCCGTGTAAGATTTCAAAACATTTAACTCAGTGTGGTCAAATCGAGTTGATTGGTGTTCTTGGAGAAAGAAGAACAAGGAACCCCTAATGGTTCATATTTAAGGCATTTATTACTGTTGGTAAAATTAATTAAAGTAAATGTAGAAATTTACAAAGCATTTGTCTGTCAAGGGACCTGGCGGATACGTATAGGGGCGAAAGACCCACCGAGTTGAAGATCTTGAGACTCAGGCGGCACTTTGGCAATTTGTAAGTATGTTTGTTAGTGTGTGTGTGTGTGTGTGTGTGTGTGTGTGTGTGTGTTTGTATGTGAGTGAGTATGTGTGGGTGAGTGGCGAATGTTCTCTGTTACATGTTGCTCTAAGTTACAGGCTGTATGTTCTATTGTGGGAAATGTGGCTCGACCTCAATGCATCGACTTCTTATTCTCAAATTTCATTGTTATTCTCATATTTCACAAATAAAAAAACCAATTACTCATACTAAATATCCACTTCACAGAATTATATTGTGATGAAGTGTATTCAAATTTGTTCTTAAATGATATATTCTAAAGGAACTAAACTACGTATTTCCCTTTCCAGAAGCAAACAGAACAATTATATCTGAAACACGTTGAGCAGTCACCTTACTCACGTTATTCCAAAGAAACATCTGTAACACAGAAGTAGGAGAATGTCACGACGAGTAAAATATAAAGGAAGAGTGCTATGTGATAGAAGGCTTTACTGGCAACTTACTACATAGTGTGAAAAATTACCTTGTGTGAATTTCCAGATTTTTGTGTTGGTGAAGTTGTCTGACCAAGGTCTATTTCGGAAGAGGATGTACATGAAGACTTGTTGCTGATATATGTAGCACCTACCGACAGAGAATATTTCTTACATTGCCACAGCGTTTTCATCATTCCGATTATTTTCAATAAATTCAGTGCTGAATCTTCAAAGTGTATAGAAGACAACATATCTTGTGGAAAGTTTATAGTGATGGAAGAGTCTCACAATGAAGAAAAGAACGGCAACGTACCCGAAAAATTAACAAGGATGTAAGTCTGTCAAAGTGTTTTATTATTAATTTATTTCCTATCCATGAAATAATAGTTTAAAAAATTAACTAATAGTTTTTCAATTTCACTTTCGATTCTATATATGATGAAACTCGATTATTAGTGATTTTTAGATCTCAGTAGAAATGAAATTTCAAATCCAGAATAATTTGCGAACTAGTTATTGTAAACTAAGGGGAATATAAGTAAGGAATACCTATTCACTGTTTCGTGGCGCAACGACTACATAAATTAGTCTCATAAATCTAGTTATGTCCCGTGTTTCTGAGAATTACCGAACTATTAGTATTGTAACAAGTTTTCGTTGGCATTTCCAATGAAATAATTATATGAGTCGTCATTGTCAACAATAAATTTATTAAATAATATTGTTGGCAATGACGACTCATAATTATTTCAATTACCGAACTATTTCAATGCCGTATGAAATACTTTATTAAAGTAGTACTATAATAAGTATTTACATTCTGTTACGCATCCTCCACTTAAGAAAAACGAAAACAGCGCACAGTTGGTTTATATGTTACTCTCATTTAGAAATTTGCTTCAGAAATAAATATGACATTTTTCGAATTATTATTTATTATTCTCTAATTACAATTTGATATAGAAACAATCTAGTATAAAATGAAAGATAAGCATATGATACTCATGATGTAAATTACAGATGTGGAGTGAACGATGGAATTGACGCTCCAAAATGGAAATTCTGGAAACGACGGAGATACATTTTAACGGCAATGACCTTTCTCGGCTTCTTCAATATGCTCGCTTTGAGATCAAATGTTAGTGTGGCAGTTACAGCTATGACAACAAAACGAACTGTGGACTTAGAAAATGGTACATCAGAAGAGGTGAGAATTTATACTTCTTATTTCTAAACCGCGCAGAAATTGAATGAAAACAATTCTGGCTCCCGCCAATTAGAAAGTATCTCTGGTTGGTTAGATACCGTCAAACTAGGGGGAAATGTAAAAACAATGAAGCAGTTTCGAATGTGACAGACTGAAAAACGCTAATATTTGATAGTGTTATTCCGCCAATTGTTAGTCTGCTCATTCCGATCGAATTCTCATACTCAATGCGTTGCTAGAATGCATGAAATGCACAATGGAAAACCATTTTGGGTTGTTTTGTCCAGTAGCATTTGTACTGCTGCAATGCACCAATATTTGACAAATTATTAAAGTAACCCTTTTTCAAGTGAACAGTGTTCAGAGATATAAATTCACTGTCTTTCCTTTCGGTAACAGAGAGAACATAATATCACAATAAACGTTTTTAAGTGCATAATTAATACACTTTCACCCTTTCAAAAATACGCCGAACAATTAAAAACAATTTAAAATGACCTTATTTGAAGATCTGTTTTTGATGCATATCTTCATTAAAAAAAATTGTATCTTCACAATTGTAGTTGAAGGAATACAGAAACTCCTATCTGCACGTACTAATTATGATTGATTGATTTCTAGTAATTCTGGGCGCGTCAACTAATATAATTAGCCCCGTATGTGTTGTGCATGATTAGTTGCTGGGGAGGGGATGGTATTATTGGCGAGAACCGGCGCCGATCTACCGTCGGCTAGCGGGGTTTTCCCCAAACAGGGGTCTCCCACCAGCAGATCACCGCCCCAAACTGGACAAGCTCTAAGCTCCCGACCGGTCTCCCGCCATGTGTGGTAGTATAGTGCATGTAAGATTAAGTGTGTGTGAGTGGTAGGATAGGACAAGAAATGGGAAGGAAACATCGCGTGCGGCACGTGGCCCATTTGGTAGGGAACTGCTCCAGCATTCACCTGGTATTGATCGGAGAAATTAATGAAAACTACCGATCAGATCAGCCGGCCGGTAGAATTCTCCTCCAGATAGCGACAGAACTCGACCTAGCTTGTCGGAACTCGAATCTCACAACCTCCAGATCAGAGGCACTGCAGTGACATCCATTGACGTCTGAGACACCTCTCCCGGTCGTACTAATTGTTCTATCGTTTTTTGGTTGCATTAAACTGATTGCGCGACGTAGCCCCGTGCTCCAAGGGCGCCGTAATGAACTGAGAGTACGGGCGTGGTGGCAGAGCAAGTCCGGAGACTTGGTGGCTCGTTAGGGCCGACGAGGCGTGGCGAGAAGGCGATCGTCGCCAAAATCAGAAGTTAGTATTTGCGTCCCTAGATACTCCCAGGGTCCCCAAGTCACATGATGCGTGAATGTGGTTCCCTTATAGACCGTGACAAACGAGTGGGACTGGCTGACAAACAATCAAGAGCCAACCTTTGGAAAATTTGAGTTTCGTCGGATGTGGGTGACGGGCAGTAGTTAAGGGTAAGCACGATGGCGTCACGGCCCCTTTTTATTCGTAATATCGCAAATGAATGGGAATTTGTTGATTGGCCACACCGAATCAGCCCGAGTTGCAAAGTGATGTGTGTTCATTTCGACATGTCTTAATATGTCTGTCTTCTGGAATTGTTTCATGTAAGACGCGGCATTTCTACTAAAAATATGAATTCAAAATATTTCATATAACATTTTAAAATATGTTTTGCAACAATAAACGTATATAAAAATAACAAGCCAATTTACGCGAAACAGAAAAATAACCTTAATTATTTAAATAAACAGTACTTAAAATACCGTTTAGCACTGGCTCAGTCATTTAAAATGCTTGACATTCTTCGTTTGATGTCTGTGTTGTCAGGTCATAATATATTTAATATCAGAACCAGCTCCAAAGCATTTTCCCTTTTTAATCGCTCTTCCGAAACTATGAAAATGCTTATCTTCTCATCTATTTCTGCACGAGAAGTTTCACAGAAAAGTTCCAATAATAGCTTTAATACTTTTGTTTTGATAGATTCATAAGAATCGTGTATGTTTCACACAAGAATCCAATTTTCACATTCAGAGTTTCAATCAAAACTTTCTAATCATGGGACAATCAATGGGCAGTGAAATAGCCATTCATATAATTTTAGACGCATATCACTTCATTTTTCATCCATCTTCCTAATTATCACATTATTGTGTAAGAATATATTATTGTCTATATTATTGTTAATTACAAATGATATTAACATTTTCTACCTCTTTACAGGAACCGGAATTTAAATGGGACAGTAAGATGCAAGGTCTTGTTCTTGGATCTTATTTCTACGGATATATTACAACACAAATATTTGGAGGATGGTTGGGAGCTAAGATAGGCGGCAATATTCTCTTCGGTGCTGGAATTGCAGGAACCTCTGCTCTAACACTGCTGACGCCCATACTCGTCAAAATGAATGTATATTGTTTTGTTGGACTTCGTGTTCTTGAAGGCGCATTTGAGGTGGGGTATCCTGATCTGAGTTCAACCCTCAGAGTGCAACAAAAGTTACAGTGCAGTAGACTAACAAGAACTACGTCCAATTTCTTCCTGCTGCAGGTGTCGAATATGTTTCCCTACGAATCTGAAGATCTGCCTGGATATATTTTCAAATTAAATCTTCTAGACATCTTTGCAAACTAGTGGGTAACCCCTCTTATGGCAATGGCAGGAAGAACTGTGACGAGATATTTGGTACTTCACTGCATTGTAACGTTAAGGCATCTCTACGTTCGTGCATTCAAGCACTAACTCCGATGAATTCTTCCCTACAGGGTATATCTTTTCCTAGCATTCAAGATGTTTGGGCGCATTGGATACCACGTCAGGAACGAAACAGACTAGCTACCATAAGCTACTCAGGGAGGTACATTGGGACGTTTGTTTGTATGACCGTTTCTGGTATACTTGCAGAACATCTTGGTTGGCCCTACGTCTTTTATCTTTTTGGTAAGAAAATGTGACTTTGTATTTGCATAAATACTGTGATTTAAAATTACTCCAAATGAAAGTAAGAAATATTTTTTTAGAATTTTAGAATTATTGTTGCAGAGATGTGATTTTCAAATCAAAATTTAATTGCTGTGTGTAAACATATTAGATTAACTTTCTGTACTTACTGTAATTCACTTTGTAATACATTTCTTGACTATGTTTAGGATTTCTTGGGTTGCTATGGTATAGCATGTGGTTATTGCTAATTAGAAGACGCCCACAGGATGACAAAAGTATCAATCTATCTGAACTTAATTACATTCGGAAAAATATTGAAGAGACACAAAGTCAGGAAGAGGTTCGGATTTAATATATTCTTGTTGGAAGTTGTGTGTGGTTTCGTGGAGTTATCGCCGTTAGAAAATGAAATATCTGGCGTAGTTTCTTATTCATAGCCATATTTTAGAACAGAATCATTAATTCAACACAGAAAATTCAATACGTTAAAAGTTGAAAACAGATTTTCTTGAAGATTTCGGACAACATTGTATTTAAGAATCCCAACACAATTTTCAGTGAACATATTCTCTTAGATGAAATATTTCTCATGCCGTCTGACTTTCGCCTCTTCTGCATCCATTTCTCTCCCCTCTTGCTTTATTTTCTTATATAATCCACTTCGCCGCTTTTCACGGTCGGCCTACCTTTAAATTTATAATTCAGTAAATTATGATGGTTGTTCGAAAAATTTTTTGCAAAATTAAATTATTAACAATAAACTGCTCCAGATACTTCAACTTCTAATCCACAATGAATAATAAAGGTATTTTAGTTTTCATGTGGTTTATAAATGGGGTCTTAATTTACTTTACAGACTATACGATATCCTTGGAAAACATTCCTGCTCTCTGGCCCCGTTTGGGCCATTACTGTAGCTAATGTTACTGACAATTGGGGTGCGTTTACTCTGCTGACACAACTACCAACTTTTCTGAAAGGTATAATTCTGAAACATCTACAATTAAATCTAAGATATCGAAAAAATATATGTTTCATCATTAATTTTCTATTTTTATCTGAATATTGATATCAATCTTAAGAGCCAATAGCAATTATAACAGATATAAAAATACTTACTGCCGTAAATATTACAAATTGTTCCTCAACTTTTGGTATGATTTTTTGTTTCATCTTCAGATTCTTTAGAATTTGATGTACAAGATGCTGGAATTCTTTCATCTCTTCCGTATTTAGCCGTAGCATTCACAATGCAGATTTCTGGACTATGTGCAGACTATATTTTGGTTAAGAAATATCTAACTACGACGCAGGTAAATATGCTTATAGTTATGATAAAATAAATGTATTGTAAATTCTACATTTCACGAATCTAATTGTTGTTAAAGCATCTTATGGTTTTAGTTGCCTTGTATTATATCACATTGAAACCTTTGCTGGTGAGAATCTACACAGGTTTCTATGTGTGCGAGGAGAATTAATTAAAACTGAACTTTGAAATATAATAGGTATCAAAAGGTAATATGAGCTAAACCTCGACCTTCACAGAAATTACGCATCAGAAAAGAATTGTTAATTATATTTTATTAAAACTCTTAACTCTTCGTATTTCTCAATTTTGAAGAATTTGTATAAATACATTTCGAAACTATTTAGTTTAATCGCATTAACATCAGCAGTGGTTCTCGTCTTTGTATAAAATTAACGAAATGCTAAGAAGAAATAACGTTAGTTTTAAAATATTAATCTTGTTTCTTGTATAATAATAAGATTCAGTATCTCTATAATTATTTAATTCTAAGAAATGTTGGGTATTTTAAATGTCTACAAAAATACGTAAATATTTCATACTTTATTTACTGTTATAGGTGCGAAAACTATTTTGCTGTTCGGCGTTTTTGTGTCAGGCAATATTCATGTTACTGACAGCATTTTTACAAACACCGGCAGCGGCAGTTACATTCTTGACATTGTCAGTTGGATTTGGAGCGTTTGCTACTGCAGCATACACGTATGTATTTCATGTTATAACTTGAATAATTTTATAATTTTTATTTTTTTTTGTCAATGGTATACCGGAATGGATGAGATCGATTATGAATTATAGAAATAGAAACTGAATAAATTTGCTTTATTCCAAAAAATATTGCATATAGTACATTAATAATTCTGATATACTTGTACGTTTTGGGGTTTTCACGCGCTTCTGCTTGAGCTTGTATGGAACTAGAGACATCTTGCTTCATAAGCTATTAAGTGTCATTAAACACTAAGTAGTAAAAACATTATTCTTCTGGAAGTATTACATCCAAGTTCATGTCTTAAATTTACACTTACATTCTCACAGTACAGCTAATCGTTCAAAATCATATCAAATTGATAACACAAGAAAGAGGGATCAGTAGACTCCGAGCTGTCAGAGAAACGCCACGCCCTAGGCGCAGGTGCCAACGTTTCGGCCGTCACACTCCCACTTTCCTCAGGGCAAAATGCACGGTTTCATTTGTCAACGCCATGCTAAACTGAATCAAATTGACAAAGAATTATTAAAAATAGGCAATCTCGGACATTTCGCCCTGAAGAAGGTATGTGGGCGAAAACGTTGGCAACTGTATCTAGGCCAGCCAAGAATCTATTGACTCCAGGTCCTCCTTCCTTAGGGAAGATGGTTCGCTTCTTACACAAGGGAACACTCTGCTCTAAACAAGAAAGTGGGGAAGAGATTACGGGAAGATAGTTCTTGCATAGTCCGTGATAGTTTTCAAGGGGCTTCTGGAATCCATCTTGAATTCATCGGATCATATCACGGAAACAACTGGCCATCAGACCAGCTTTCCCTAGAATTCTCATTGCTTATTTTTCCCGAACCGTGGCATAATAATATTTAATGAAACATTTCGGAGGCTGTCATTCAAAGTTACTGCTGAGTCGTTCATTGGCAATAATATCTGTGCTAAACTTAGCCGGTAACAGGTTTCAAAATTTAGACAAGTTTAGGAAACTTCTTTCGTGGCACAATTCGTGTCTGCCCCAAATGCAGTCACATTTGTTGAAGTAAATATTCGATTTTGTCTAACAGAAAAAATGCAAAAGAACGAGTTAACAGCATCGTAGTTTTTTCGCAAATATTACTTTTTATAAGTATTTTTTAAAATATTGTTTCTATTCCATTTCACTAGTACTGTGTTATTAGTTCAGGAATGTTAAAAAGCACATAAAAACAACAATTTGTTATCAAATCATCAACAACTAGTTTCCTTGAGTCAACACATATAACCTTAAAATTAATTTTCCTTGTTACGTAAAAATTTATGATGAATAAAATTGGCTTAAAATTGTCCATTTACGTTCCTAACGATTCAAATTTAATGAAAACTATATTATAGTTTTGTAGGGCATTATTTGACACATCGTAAATATGGACACGGCAATTAAACTACCTGCAGCACTGCAGCTAAAATGCACTGTAGTAAATATTTTTCTGACACAATATTGATATTCATTGCTCATATTAAACTTGCACTATTCTCGCATAGCGAATAACGAATTTTGTTACATTTATTTTCATTTCAGAATGAATCAACTAGATTTATCACCCCAGCATGCAAGTGTATTATTAGGAATATCTAATACTTTTGGAACCGTGCCTGGAATAATAAGTCCTACGATTACTGGATACTTAGTTCCAAACAGGGTGAGATAATAATAGCCATTGCAGAAGAATTTTAAAAAAATCCGTTATTTTTTGAATGTTTCAATTTTTGTTTTCAGACAAATTCAGAATGGCAGGTTGTCTTCTTTGTTACGAGTGGTATTTACTTTGCTGGTGCCATATTCTATGGATTGTTCGTATCTGGCGAAGTTCAGAGTTGGTCGGAAGAAAATATTTGCAGAGAGAAGTCGTCTAATAATCAGAAGGATTCAGTAACGGTTGTGTTTAATAACAGTGTCGATAAAACATGAATTCTCTGTGAAGCATTTTAATAGTTTAGACAATTTGCATTAATTGCAATTAATGCGATCTATTATTTAACACATCTTCGTTTTCTGAAGAGAATGTGAATGAGAAAGTATTTTTTTAAATATTAAAAACATTAAACATTTTGTGCGTGTTATTTCGAAGTTCAATATACATTGTGATGTTAGATATGTGATTAATTTCTTTAATGTTAAGTTTTAACTTTGAAAGAAGCATCAGTGGACATGTATAAAACGAGAAGTCGTTTGTAAAGCACTGCAGACATGTGAAACATAAAGAAGATGTTGTTTGATGAGTTATTCCTAGTCGTTTGTCAATACTATTTAACGTTTTTTTGCATAAATAGAAATAAACAAACTTTTTCCGTTCGTCCTTACAAGTGGAAATATTATTACGAGTTGAATAGTCTATTGTTTTGACCACCATTGTTATATATTTGTTAAGAAGGGAAGATGATTTTGAAGATTAGTTCAAACTTCAAAGTCTACTATCTCTTCATTGTGCATTTAACATCTTGTTATATTTTGGAAACGTGGTTGATTACTTCTGTTGATGCAAATAAATAGTAATAATTATTGATTTAACTACAGTATATGGCACAGATATAATAAGAGACCATTCCTCTCACGAAAGGTCAAGAAATGCTTGAAAATAATTGCAAAAATGGTTTGAAATGAGAGAACGGTAACTTGGTGACCTCAATCTTCTTATGGAATTGATTGAATATGTTTATTGAGGTTTGTTCATTTCCTCCAGCAATTGGTAGAAATATACATAAAATTTTATAGATAGAGTACATATGAAAATGATAAATCGTGTATCAAAGGGGCACAGAAGGATACTTTTGAAATGCTGTTGGCAAACAAGTCATCCATAACAATAGTAGCTCAGTGGGAATCAATGGCAATGGGAGTCATTGCTTCAACCTCAACCATTTTAAAACTTTGAGAATTATGCACTACATATCCTTCTTCGCATCGTTGGTAAAATAATAGAAAAATATGATTTATTTAATTTTATTCGATTTTATTAAAAGTTTTGTATGATTTCTTCCCATAATTTCGAGACAATTTTTGTAAAAACTTTAAGGTTTAATAAACACAGACCAAATATTTTTTCTAATGTATATTTTGTGTGTAATCTACCCTAAGAAGCGAATAACATTTAGAAACTTACGGAATCTAAGGCAATTTAGTAAAGGCAAGCTCCTCAAGAGCAAATACAAATAATCACTTAGAGGCAGTTGCATACGTCGTGTCTAATAAATCCTGTGACATGGATAGCTTCTCTTAAAAGTAATTTCCAAATAGGCATTATTTGTATTTTTTTATTTCTAAAAATAGAAAGTATATTTGAAATAATGAAATTCTGTGCGCATGTATTGTTCATTGAAACCTATAAATAAATTAATTAATTAACATTATTGTGAATTAATGTCAATTACTACAGAACCGTAAGACTAAATGATTGAAATTTTTATGAATCACATAAAAAGAAGCACTTGTTTCAAAATCTTTATAATACTTTTTGAATTCTCTTAAAAATACTTAGGGAGTCTCTACTATCCACACTTAATCTACATTACAGAATTATCATTTTATAAATATGAAGCAACGAACGTTCGTATTGCTGATCCTGCATAAAATAGAAACTTAAAAGAAATGATTTGGTCTGAGTCTCCAAAAATATAAGGTGCAATATTAAATGAAAACGGAACCATTATTCCTGAACGTCGCAGCTGTCTATGACTAAAAGTTAGAGTTCAAAGAAGAAAAAGAAGCATTTGGGTGCACGCGTAATGTTGACAGATCTCGAAGATTTCTGACGTGTAAAGGAAAACTCTGCGAATACAGGTACACTGCAGTAAACGACTCTTAGAAGGTAAATCATAGTACACCGAAATGATCTGAACGGCAAGAGGAAAAGTATACGTAAGTGAAACTCTCTGAAATTTAGGAAGTGCTCTGATGGAAACTGAAATTTGAATTTTTTGTCTTTGCACGTCATAGCAAATGATTGAAATTATTCTATTATTTCTGCTTACAAAATTTTAAAGATCCCATTACAATGGTACCAATCACAATTTCATAGACACAAGTCCAGGTGCATGTTCATGTGGATTGCTTAGCAATGGGTTCTGAAATAACTGCAGGTTGATGACATGCAAAGTTTGGCCTCTCAGAAAATTTTTTTTTCAAAAATTTCGTTATTTTTGTTGTAAAATATTTTTGAGGTCAATTGTGAATAACAACATAACTAATTGTGTCTTTAATAAATCCAAAAGTGGTCCCATAATTGAAATCTTGCATTACAGTTATAGAACATTATTGAAAATACTGATTCCACCGACAATAACTTAGGGACTGAACACCAAGTGAGATTTGTATGCGTCACATGAACCGATTTTCTTATAAAGCTCTCTAAATTACATTTAACAGATTACCTCTCTTGTCAACTTTTTCTTGCAGAAGACAGAATGAATATTTAATAAAGATTAAATGACAAAACAAACATCTGTTATCTATTCAAAATAAAAATACAAAAATCCTAAATATGGAGACCAAATAAAGAGATTCAATATTCAATTTGTATACCAGCAAATAAGAATTAGCATTCACAGAAGACAATAAAGAGCGCCAGCTTAATACCGTATGAACTTTGAGATTTGTGATGTGTGAAGAATTCCCTGATAAGAAAACCCCGCAAATTAAAGTACTGGTATTGTCTCCTCAGTATGTATCTCAGCAGTATCCAAGTAGAAATTGTACCTTAGAAGAACGTTAAAATGATACCAAACGCAATTGTACAAACAATGTAAAGAGCATGGAACTACTTACAATTTATATACTATTATTTAATAACAATATTAGTAATAAGGTTCAATATTGTAAGTATTTTTATTGACAACCAAATATGGAAAGAGCAGAAAGGAGAAGTTCTCAGACAAAATTACCACATACAAGGTACGTGTTTCGTGAAATGTGTATAAACTGATCCCAGTGCCGTGATGAAACATTATGTACAGTGTGTATTACATCAGTGCATTGTAATGAGATAATAGATTATATTAAAAGGTTAGAAAGAGCAGTAAAAATCTTCTTACTCTTCAACATGATTTTTTTTTGTTGCTCAAGAAAGCGGTCATATTTAAAGAATATTTAGTAATTAAATGCGCATATAATATGTTCCACTACATATTTTGTAACATTTCAATATTGTATCCAAAGTAATTCTGCTATGAGCGATGGAATAAAAGCCCCCGTTTGGAAGTTCTGGAAACGACGGCGATACATCCTCACCGGAATGACATTTCTGGGATTCTTCAATGTTCTTGCTTTGAGATCAAACGTAAGCGTAGCAATTACAGCTATGACAGCAAAGCAACCCATGCTTCTGGAGAATGGCACTACAATTGAGGTAAGATTTTATGTTATAAAATACACATTCTAATGCTCTACAAGATCGGTTTTACGGAGTAGATTTCTTTTTTCACATCTGATAAGTTCGATACCTTCTTCTCCACTCTACAATTAACTGTCGAGACTCAAACTACAATTAATAATAATGTAAATACTTTGATTGTTTATGTAAAGGTTATTTTTATCTTTAATATTTATAAAATATCTGTGATTTTTAAATTATTCTTTCATAGTTTTTCACGAGTTTTGTCCATCCATTCGACTCTTTCCCATCAACCGACACTCAACAGATCCTTTCCGAGACAAAAAGAGTTTATTACACGCAATTTGGTCTCCTGGTGGGAAACTAATCTTCATTGCGGATCCATCCAAATTATTCTAACATTTCACTCAAAAATTCCGTGTTTTTTGAAAGAAGGCAATTAAAATTTGTTTAAGGGATTACAAGCACCTACAATGTGATTAATTCAATTGATTTCTCTTAGCAAGAAAAATGATTATTCTCTTATTCGAAGCAGTTCCCACTGGAATATTCTGGAAGAATTCTAGAACAAATAAGATATTTTGTGGTTTCAATGCACCCAAATGAGAATTACTGTGCGCCATTTCCCCCATAACTTGAATCGTTTCGAATTCATTCATTTAATGGGCAGTATAATATAAGTATGTAAAGAAACAAAAATATAAACAAGTACCTACATCATCATTAATCAATACTCTTTCACGTAACTTTCTATGTCAGAAAATGGACCAGTTCAACAACTCTAATATGTTTAAAATTTAATACTTTCTCATATACTACTTTCGTAGTATTGAGAAAGTGGAATGATGCAGCAAAAACCGCGAATTTTTGACAGAAAAAACTTTATGAGTATTCTCGCATACTAGGAAGTATGCTTATAAAAATGTCAAAAAGTAGAGTTTCGTTGAATTATGAATATTAGAAAATTGCACAAATTAGAAATAATGTGAGAAATTATGTTATGCCGTAGCACCACTAGTTTGTATTACTAGTTATGTATTAAGTTGCAAAGCACAAATATAACTTTTTAGCACGATAATACCCACCGGAGGCGCCACGCTCAGCTACTTTCAAAGTGGTTTCTTAATATGAATATCATATAACCAGTTATTAAAAAGTCTTAGAATTGTTATTCTACAAAATATTTTGTATAGACTAGAACAAATATTTGTTTTCGTTCATAGACTTAACTTTTTTTCATACTGCATAAGTTAGATAATTTTTAACAATGCCGACTTATTTCACTAGCAAATTTATGGGAAACAAAAACTTTCTCCGTCCATACGTCTTTTCATAAGAAGAGGATATACTTTTATTGACACATTTTATATGTATTAGAGCTGTATGTGAAATATACCATTTCGTGAATCTATGTAAGATATTCTAAATTTAGCAGAAAATGCAAAACTGTGAATTTTGGAAAAATAGGAATGGGAAGGTATTGAGAACGATTACTTGAATTTTTTATATATTTTATGTTTTCTTAATTCATGTTGATCATTGCACAATAATATGATTGATTAGATATGATATCTAATTATATACCTTAAAATATTTTCATTGACCCAGACTATCATTCATTCCTTTATGGTATTTAAAAAAGCAATGAGACAAAATTGATTTACTTTATTGAAATAAACGTGT